ATCCAAAAGGACTGTACCTTGGTGCGCGTCCAACAAAAGCTCTCTGCCGAATTTCATCCTCTTTTGAATTTGTATTTGAATAACACTCGAGCTACAAATCAAAATATGTTGGACACTGAGAGTGAGGTCATGGGGTATAGATCATCATGGCTTCCAGAGAAGTCTCCTTGTGTAAAAGACGGGAACGGGTGGCTGCTGCTTTGACTGATGGCTATAGAAAACTGAGAGGGCTGTTCGGGGCCCATTCTCCCGAGACTAAGTCCCATGCCCGTGCCAAACCCCTCATTTTCCTCCCCGCAATATATTTCATTAAACTTTTAACTCTTCACAAGGTAATTCACTTGGCATTTTGAGACTGTGCTGTTGAAGGCTGCTGAGTGTTTCTCTCTCTGTAATTTAACATCATGCAGATATTTGTCTAATACAGCACTAAAAGTATGTTTCAAAATCTTTTTTTTTCTTTGTAAAAAAAAAATGAAAAAACAAAAAATCCCAACACACATTCAGAACAGTTTAATGGATGAAACTGTGTAACATCCATACCAACAAAGCTGTGCTGCGCGGCACAGCATTTCATGATTACAGCCGTGCAGGTCCCAGTGGCGCAGATATAATTAAGACCTCTTCTTAATTACTTAATAAGCCTAATTAGTAACATTTCTGAGCAGCAGATTTGGCTGCAAGAGCGATGGAAATCAGAAGAATGTTAAGTCTATTTGTTATTTCATTTAAATCCTAATGTTAATGAAATTAGTGCATTATGATATAACCGAAACCAACCACGCTGGGATTGACCAAAGGGCTAATGCAGTTGTTTTATGCTCCTGATAAACATTCAATTAAGAGCAACAAAAGGAGGGCAAGAAAACCAAACCAAAAACAAAAAACCCACACAAAAGAAAATCTAGTTTTTCTTAGGTTTCTACAGTCACATCACTTTCACCAAGCGATCTTGTTTTCTCTCATCGATCATTTTTCATCAGTGGGTGCCCAGATGTGATGGAGAGGGTAACTAAGGCAAGTCCACCAATCATGTGTTGGAGCTGCTGCAGCATTCCTGGCCACTTAATTAGAAGTTGTTGGTACCACAGAAGGTGTCACCAACCTTTTCAGGCGCTGAACAGATGGTGTCCCCCTTTTTTTGAGGTCCTGCCAATGCCCACTCTGTGGCTCCTGGGAAAATGACCTAACTCACAGGCAGCTGCTTAGTGCGGCTTGAGTGATTCTTTACAGCCACTTCTATTGGGGGGGACTTAGCAGGACGTACCACTGCAAACAAGGGTTGAGACCGCCGTAGCTGGGTCCCCTGGTAGCAGCAGAAATCTGTTTTGGTTACAGGATAGAGGTTGTTAAAGCTGTGTTTTCAGCGCCATGTGCAAAAAGACGAAGGAAAGACCTTAACCCCCAAAGATCTCTATGTCTAAGTGCGAGTTGGGTTTGTGTGCACCTTCCTCTGCTTTTGGCAGATGGTGTGAATATCAACAGAGAAAGGACCTGGGAAACCCCAC